ATTTTGTCTTTTAAGAAAACCAGGCTTACGAATTAAGGCATACCATAGGCCTACAATTTTTTTTTATATCTGTTGAAATACAAGAGAGGCCAAATAAAAAAAGTGTTGACCACGGCGAACCAACCCAAAATGTACAAAATTGAGGTTCGGCATTTTAGTTTTTTTTTGGTACAACGAAAAATGTTTTTTTAATGAGCTAAAAAGGCTGGAATAGGTCTATCTTGCTTTACGGTAGGCAGTGCGACCGTTTTGCTCCTCAACAAATTTCCTTTCAGGTGAAAAAAATTCATACAGTTTTTATGCAACTTTTTTGGCGATTACAGAAATGGTGTAGTTATTAAATATCCTAAGCAGCTACTCATGTATCTTCATCGTTAGAGATATTTTTAAAAAAAAGTTGAAATTACCTGAACAAATGTTTCTTCCACATTTTTATCACTGTCAAAAACAGTTGATGCTTTGTCATTTAGGCCTACTCTAGCACGTTTCTGTTGACTGACTTGTTCATCTTGGTTCTAAAATGTAAAGGAATACTTTTAAAATGCTGCGAGCTCAACAATTAGTGTTGATTGTATTATCCATCTTCAATAATTCATTATGTAACTGCTAAGGTATCATGATATATAACATTATTTCCCCCTGCACATTCACTATTAAAGATGTATAATCTCCTGTGTGATGTTGTATTTCATGACTGAAATATATCAGAGTGTAGATAATTCTCATATTTCATTAGAAAAGCAGGGGAGGAAAGATGTTTATTTAGTGAGAAAAGATGCCTATTTTGTGAATATGAATTACCATTAGGCCTAAATAAGATGCAAATTTAGTGACCGGGAAATACCTTTTTCCTACCCGGCCCCTCCCATGCAATTTTCTATTGGAGGACAAACACATAATTTTTTTTTTAGTAAACTTAAACAAATTCCAAATTCCGTATTCCAGTCATATACATTTAAGGCTGATTTTGTTAAACTTTAAAAATCATCACAAAAATTTGAAAGACATAAAAGTAAACAAATTCAATAGGACACTGTAAAAAGATAAATAAAATGGCTAATATGAATACAAATTTGAAACATATATCTTGGTAATAATTTTTGGTCTGACAACCCTGTCCGTATTATAAAGTCAGTTTTTGTTACATGAAAAGTAACAACACATAGTGTTTAAGGTGGATATTTATAGGGCATAACAATACACATGCACTAGAATGAAAGTTGTACTGTGTATTAACCTTGAATACTAATAAAAAACAGGGATATGGGATTAAATTAAAATCAGGTTACATTATTCATTTGCATAACATGAATTAATTATTCGTTAATCCTAAAAAGTATCATAAATTGTAAAAAGTAAAATTACCTGATGAAATATTTCATCCGCTGAACTGTCATCGCTGTCTAAAATGATGATTTCATTATCATCCTCTCTAGCACGTTTCTTCAAGCTTGTAGGCTCTACCTTACATTTGAACCTAATAGATTGAAAGGTTGGAAATAACAATATTCACATTCACCAGACATTCAAACGTTTTATATAACAAACATTCAGTCCCAGCATGTCATGTCTGCTTTATAAATTAGATATTCCACCTGTACAGGTATACAGGTATTACTCTACTTTTGCTGGGTGGATATAACCATGGAGATTACGTTGTCCTGCCGTTGGACAAAATGCAACACATAGTCAAAAATTGAGAACACTGGACTTGAGCAAAATTTTACTTGTTCTTATAAAGAAAAGTATATCCCACATACTGTACTGAAATTATCATCATCATCATCATCATAATAAGATACAGTACTGAATAATAATGATAATTACTACTTCTTTTCATTTATTAAAATAATAAATGAGCTAATTAATTTCATTTGTATTTTTAAGGAAAAGTAAAATTTCAGTATACTGTTCAACTTAAAATTACTATATATTTTAATTCTTTATAGTTTTAATAATTTTCATTTTATACTATTTACTTTCCTTTGGTTTACTTACTTTATTTAATATTACAAAGTACAATTTTTTTTCAAACAAATTGTAAATGAGTTTTTCAGGGATTTCTGATACTGTACTGTACTTACTTTTTTTGTTCCTGGACACATTGCCTTGACATAACTGCCAAAGACTGTAGTCTGTTGGCCTTCACACCCCCATGATGCAGTCGCTTCCACAGCCATTTGCAAATATTTTTCCATATTTCTAGCGTATTCCTCTTTCCAATTAGTAATAAACAATTGCCATTACCAGGGGTCATAGATACAGGATGAGTGTCAATAACAAATGGATGATCATAGTGACATCCAATTGTTATTGTCAGCGGGTCGCAGACGAATATTCCCACAAAGTCTCTTGCAGAAAGTTCACAGAGTCTAGTGTACAATTTCTGTCTGCCTCCTTCTGAGAATATTGTGTCCGCATATGGGAGCTCTTCTGTAAAGTCGCACTGACATTGTAATAGATTTTGGCGCTGCAAAATTTGGTAGGCTTCCATAGTGTCGTACCTTTTGTGGATATCTCTGCATTCATTTATTTTTGAAGGCAAATTTGTAATCGCATCTTCAGCATATCCACTAAAGGCAGAAGGTAAGTTCTGATTCGTATGGCACTTGGTTAAAATGCTGTCTGCTATTTTTAATGCCAGGAAAGCACATGCATTTGTGCCATCATTTAATTGTAAGGCTTCCGCATGTGTCAATGAAT